CCTCCACGTGGTGCAACCTGGGCAACGTACACTCATACGGCAAAAAAGTCTATTAACTGGCGGTTGACTTCTCACTTCAAACTACCATCACCTCACTCTATGCCATATTCGACTACTTCCACAGTACTCACCTCACCTTTTTTTCTACCTTTGTGTTTGTCTCTTATATCTTTGAAACACTCTTCCCTCCTCCCCCCCCCCTATCGACTTTTTTCAATTTGATGTTCCTTCCCCTCTGTGAAGTCTGAAGTCAACTAAAGGGCTAATGATAACCATCAAGACGCCTGCCATTTGATATAAATAAATACAATTTAAACAAAAGTGACGATTTAATTGATCTACAAAAAGCAGGAGAAACAAGGCAGGGAAGATGCCAACAGTACCAAACATATAATTAAAAGACAATAGAAGAAATAGCAGAAAAATGGCACTAAAACACAGTCATATATTGATTTATTACAATAAATAGAAAAGGAGAAACGGAAAGTAAGAGACGGTAATTTCACAAAAAAATTTCCCAGAAAGCATTCCATTAAATCTCATCATTCAGCCTTCTTCTTGGGTTTATCTTCCTTCACATAGAGGTAGACAAATGAGAGGAAGAAAACTCCAATCATCATTGAGATTGAACTAGCGTAATAGGGATAAGCCGAAATAATGAACCTCTCATATTGGGTATGAGTGAATGGTCGGACCGAAATCTGAAAATTAAATGGATATCACATACTGTTCATAATTGAAATGGACATATAATTAGATGTTTTTATATGAACCTGAGAAGCACTAAAAATTGAAGTATAGCCAGGGCGGTTATAGTCAACCACAAGCTTGAAAACTCCATATACGTCAGGAAGCTGCATTTTCATTTCATATGTGTGACCTATAAGGAAAAATCCATTAGAAAGACTATAATTAAACCAGTTTAAGCAATTATAAAAATGTATACCCGTGTGCTTAAGATAGCGACGGATGAATGGATCAATTCTGATGAGTTCTAATTGAACATCATTTGCAACATAGTCACGCCAGAAACCATTCTCATCCTTTTCCTCAATATCAATTTTGTAGATAATCTCATCAGTTATAGTATACTCTCTACGAGGGAAAGATTCACCAACTTTATAATGCGTGACGTTAGAAATTCGTAAAACACCGGACTCCTGAAAGTTCCACCGGAGAAGATGGTCGGCAAATTCGGCATTGCTGGAAAGCTCAGACCTAATCAAATGGAAACCATTAGTTGGCAAGCTTGAAATTACCTCTTATTGGTTACTTTATTTACAACCGGGGATTCGTAGAAAGCATCGGAGAACATCTCAATTGAACCCGTAAACACAACGCGAGCATTATTACGAGCTTGCAAAGCACTAACCAATTGAGTATTCTTCCCGACCGTCGTGGGATATTGAGAAATGGGTGTCCTTGGATCATGCGAATAAGATGTTGGAGATCCATGAAGAATATTCATAAGGAGAGGACTTGTAGGATCAGATGTGATACTGGGATCAAGTAAAACGTTAAAATTGTAACTCAAGAGTCCTTACCTAACACCACGATACAAAATTGGGTTCTTGAAAGCGCCAGTTATAATTGGAACATCAATTGCATTCTCTGGACTTGCAATTACAAGGGTATGCTATAGAATACATCATAAAGGTAAATTAAACTGTAATTACTTCACCACTGTCCATTTCGTGATAGTTATTATGATCAATAACATAGGAGTTTGAGTCATCGAACTCAACCCCACATTCACTTGCAAAGTCTCTAACAGCCTCACCAACTTCAGGACCACCAGCTACAAGAACATTACCACCTTGATCAACAAAATCAGTTAGTGCCTTCACATTAACATAACCGCCGAACTCTAAAAAAGTTGATAGATCACTAATGAAGATACGTGCCTCTAGTGGAGGGCGCAAAAATAATAACATGCTGATAATTATATTCCCCAAACTGCTTTAAATTAAGAGTCGAGTCATCAGCGTATTTAAAAGTTAATTGATAACCACGATCTAAAAGTTAATATATCAAATAACAGCAAACCTGTGAGGGATTTGAAAAACCGAGAGTGTGTGTCACGAATGACAATATTTTCAATCAAAACCAACACATCTTTACTAGTCGGGTTTGATCTTACGCAAATTAAGGAGAGAGCTAATATTATGACAAATGCCACCCTCATTACAGTCCGCAATCTTGCCAAATGCGGCGCGTACGAAAACGTGTTATTTAAGGTTATTTTAAACAAATTGCATGTCATATAATTTCTGTAGGCGCAAATCTGACTTAAATTTATAAAATTTTGTAAAAACCTGGTTAAATTTGTTGTAAAAAATCTTAATAATTTTGATGTCCGCCTTATGCTTTGTGTAATAAATTATTTTCCCTTAAATTTTTCTATTACCGTGTTTTCACTTGACTTTGCTCGGTTATATGTATCTGCTGACTAAGGATTTATTAAGGAGTTTATATTGCGTCTTCTTTATTCTTTTTCGTTAAAATTATTTTTCATTTGGAGTTAATTCTGCTCATGTATGAAATAATATGCTCTAATTAAAATGATGAATACTTAGGAAAGTGCGTGTAGAACAATATAAAGTTGCACGGAATTTGGTTATGGGAATTAATTTATGTTTCTAACCTAGTCTGATTGAATTATGCTCTTTAGTAAAAACTTGTCTTACTTCAGTCTGATTGAAAATGAAAGCTACTCGGATATCGAGAGTTTGATGGTTTATTTGATAAATATTATAATGAATTCCCGTAATGCATGCGAGCTTCATATACTAAATCAAGCTATGCATGAAAAGTTGAGAAAAAGGAATAAATTGGCTTGGAGAATTGATGATAATGTGTGTGAGTAAACTAGAATGGAACAATGAACAAAGAGTTTATTTGGCCGTTTTGCTTGCTTCGTTACCCAAATATATCACGACTAAAAGTATTCATCGAAGATTTTGACCGGATTGGAAGTATAAAACAACGTATTCACTTTTGTTATGGCGCAATATATAAATATATCACAAAAGTGTTGGATGTTTGTTGACGGTTAACAACTATGAGTGAAAAGGAGTTCTTAATTTCATCATCTGTTCACCACATTGATTAATCCTATATGATCTTTGTATTCCGACTGAGGTTGCTTTAGGTGAGTTATCGACGATAAGACATGACTGCCGGCTCACAAATGAAGGTAAATAGCCGGGTTAATATCCATTTCACATTAAGATACATACTAGATAAATAATCACTGTTATCACTGGCTCTATGCTAGAAAATATTCGATAGAAATGTGGCGCTACTCTGTGACCAAAGCATTCCATTTTCAAAGGTTATTAATTGTGCAGAACAATTTCAAAAGTGAAAGAGTTATATGAATACGTCAGGGATATATTAAACAGAAATACTACACAAATAATTTGACCGTAATAATTAAATAAATACAGAGTTGGAGAAAAGAATAAATAGAAATGTATGAATATGATCTTGCAAAAGAATCGCCAGAAGCATGAATTAATAAAATTAGAACTTATTTAGATAGACGAGACCAAATAATCAATTAGTTATTTGATTTACAGGTACGAAAAAGGTGATATTTTTTGACAATGTGTAATTTGGATTTAATTAAGGACTTTGTGTTAAGTTTGCTTGGAATCCAGAATTTCAGCTCTTGACTACAGGAAAATGCTTTCGGGTGACTATGACTTGAGTATGATTGACCTCAGTTTCATCTGTTCAAATTTGTCTATTCTATGTGTCAAGGACAAGTAACTAAAATTTGGATAAGTCTGGAAATGCTATCTCCGAGTACTTTGTACATGGATGTGTTGTCTAGTTTCCGAGTGAAAATTATTTGGATACAATTTTCAGTTCTAGGTTTCCCTCATTCTACTTAAATATTCCCTGTTTCTTCCAATTAACACTATTGCTACTAATCCCTTAAAATACTTTAATTTTACATTATGTACTATCATTTGTAGAAAAATTTTGGATGTACAAGAAGCTGCAGCTAACCTCAACAAGTAAGTGGTCTCTACGTGAAAATGTTATAACTAGAGGTAGTTAATTTGTTCGCATAGGTAATAGCGTATATGATCATATTAAAAATTTAGAAAGCCTGTATGTAATGATATTGACTAATGCAAAATGGCTCATATCCAAAATTAAATAGTAAGTGGTTGAAAAATTTTTCTATGAAACCCCCATTGAGGCTCTCCTATTTCGTTATATTAAAATGCAATAGAATACCAGTTTGCATCAAAGAGTTCTTCATTTAATTAAAAGTGCTTAAAGAAAAGTTTTACACTCACTAAAATGAAATTTTCACCAAATGATGAAATTTTGTTATATCCTATAAGATCATCCCTCTAAATACCAGCCATTTGTCTTTTCTAAAACAAAAATATTATTTAATTTGTTGCAATGAATTCTAATAAATAATATCCATTTACGCACTCTATTTTCGGAATCGATATCGTGCTTGGATTCCACTTCTTTTATCTTAGCTTCATAAATTTCCTTTGATTTATTAAGTATGGCTATCCCTATTGGAGATCGACTAATGGTATTGTCGCAGTGATTTCCTGGATGGTGACAAGGTTTATCCCATGTACCATGAAAATGACCAAATGGATTCCGGCCAGGTTTACAATCTTGTTCTTCAGATAAATGGCCTCGATCATCTGCTATTATTCGAGTTGTTAATTTCCGTGCCTTAGGACGCTATAAGATCACCTTTTTAAGTTAGTTGAGCTTTAAGGCATTGTTGATTAATAAAAAGTTCCAGTTACAATCAAAAATGAAATGAAGCAAAACTCACATCGACCTTTTCTCTTGCTTGACCGAAAGAACTTTTACGAAGCACACGGAATGCGTCTTCAAACTTTTTGTTTACTTTTTTATTTTAAATTACCTGTTCAGCACAGTAATTTTTGGACATTTTATCAAATTAAATACAATAATGATTAATTTCAAAGTTTTGATAGACATTGTTACTAAAGGTGAGATTCATTACTTTAATCAAACGAACTGGATGTATTACAGAAAATTCGATTAAAGGAGACTTATTGCAATATCATTAACTTGAAATAAATGAATATTTTTAATGTCTTAATCATTATTTAATAAGGAATTAGGTAAAGATTTATTAAACCAACAATACGCAATTACGTTTTTCTAATTTACTTTCTTTCATCTCATTTTAAAGTGTATTTTTATACCAAAAAAGTTAAAATGTCTTAAGAGCGCGTAGGAATAGAATAGTCTATTTCATGCAAATATATTACCGAGATCAAAATTCAAGTTAGCTTTAATCTTTAAATTCATTAAAAATAAATACGACGATTTTCTCGAATGCGGATAATGCCAGAAGGTTTATAACGGAGTTTAAATATTATTATCTTTTATTGATTAATCCTAGTTTTTAACTAGAAAATAAATAAACTTCTAATAGTGGAGATAATGAAGATTACGCAAGCGAATAGATTCTTACTTTCTTGTTAGAAATACATAATTCAAGTAAATAAGCATATGATTAAATTGTGATAAAATTATATAAAGATATGAATATCATGTAATGATGAACCGTCGCATTTTAAATCCTGAGTTGCTGACATTTCAGCATCATCCGCCCCCACAACTTTGAGAGAAGATAAAAGCTTTTAATGGAACTTTTACTCTAACTTGAACTCACGCGTAAAAATAATTCAAAATAGTCTGTGAATTGCAATAGAAACAGACTAATAGGGGCACGTCATTCGTGACTGATCTAACAGCGATGATCCGACCTGCGAACAATACTCCAAAAGAAGATAAGTCAACATGGCTCCGTTGTCATCGCAAAAAATGAAATTAAATTAAGCGTTTTGAGCTTGATTATAGAAGACTTAGTTTGTTCTGCATATGGATTTGATTGTTCTTTTGAATGTTAGCAGGGAACAAGTTAAAAAAACCTTGGATATATAAAGTTAATTCATCAAAAAATGGTAAATGTAGCAAATCTGTGAATATATTGAGAATCTTAACTTGAAATAAAGTAAAAATTCTTGATATTATAGTGTCTATGCAGAGCAAGGTTGACTGTAGAACGAAATATTAATCTAGACTGGTTCAGTGCGCTCAACCCTATCTAGTTTGAAGATGAAAGCGAACCCTGCTAGACAACGGCTCTCAAATTTACGCCTTCAGAAAATTCGGAGGGAAGATGCAACAGGTTTCCATATATTGTTAAAACCCTAAATCAGTCTATTGTTAACAAGTTGTTAAAACTAGGATCTAAATGGGCAATGTCCAAAACTAGGTTCACTACAGGTGTGACGTTCCCAACTGTGACTAATCTACAGTTGAAAGGATTTAATGTTATTTTGCAGGCCAATTATTTCCATTCTCAATAAATTCTTTGATTCGAGTGCACCAGAAACTCTTGATACGAACATAAGTTCACATTTTACTCCATATAAACCAAGCTAACTTTTTGTAAATATCTCGAATAAATATGAAAAATAATCCCAACTCCTATGCAGAATATGGAAGATAAAATTCGATGGCATCATGTATAAAAGTTATTATGAAGGTTAAATAGTGTTCCGACATAGTGCCCCTGAGGCGCTTGCCATCTTGTTTGTCCCCACAAATACTGTTCAAACCGCCAAGTGGCGTGGTGATAACATCTCCTGAAGAAAAGGCATCTAGATTCAGGACAATACAACGCATAAAAGTAGAGGGTTTAACTAACTGAATTCAAAATACATCTTATTTAATTTTATTTCCCATATATACATAAAGGACATCATGGCGTTTCTATCCACATCTTGATCGATCTCATCACAGACACTGGTGAGTGACCAAATCTACAAGCACGTTAGGTGTAGATAAGATAATAGTAGTTTACCCCAAATTCTCTACATGATTCAATATATATAAGAATTTGACGTATGTGAAAGAGAAGAAGTATTTCGGTGGACTTCAAAAGAAATGTACAAACACTATATAGCATCTGAACCGACCAAAAGGAACATTTTGAAACCCCAAGGTAGAAAATGTATAGTTTCATGGGATTGTATTTATCCAGGTGGTAATTAAGGCTTATAAACTGCATGAAAAATCTCTTGAGATTAGACAAATATATCAAAATTTCAATGAACTGATTTGCAATTTTAAAATAAAATTATTAAAATAGTTTAAAATGGCTAAAATAAATTTAACTTAATAAATAATAATTTTTGTTTATATTTGTAAAATTACTTGAGCCGAAAATAAATTAACGCTTTGTGTACTTTGTCTGTCGAAATGATGGTTGAAAATAACGATGGATGTGATTTTAGACAAGACTTAGTAGTATCCAAAAACTGTGTTAATGTGGGTTCTTTTATTTTGTATAAATATTTAATCATTTCAAAAATTACAAATCTTATTTTCTTTCTAGCCCTGCTGTCGTAGAGTGGCAAATCACGCTTCTCAGCTAATACGAGCCGGAGTCGCATTGAAATCTTTGCTTATCCAGCAGTCCCACCAGCAGGAATCTCTTGGCTCTCAACAACAATATGAAAATATCAATAGAACTGTTGCTTTTTCTCGTGCCGATTATGCGGCTTTGCAACGTCAGGTCGAAGCTGGTCTGACATATCAGAGAGAAGTGCAACAACTCCGCCGGGAGGTTGAATTTCAACGCGCAAGTTCCTTTTAACCTTCGCAGTTTATCCCATCTCAATTTTTTCGTTTATCTCATTAATTCGCTCTTTTAGGAAACAATAGAAAACTACAGGAAACTCATAAATGATGGGAATGCCTTTCGAGATGAGCTCAGAAATGAGCTGAATCTCGCACGAAAATCTGCTTCTATTGCTCGCGCTAATCTTGAGGAGGAGAGAAGAAATCAGAGTCGAACTTTAGCACCTGTCAACCCTCCTAGTTCTTCTGAACCCAATCGTTGGCTAGAAGTCTATAAGCAAGAAAATGTTAAGCTACGCGAGTCAGTTCGAGTCCTTACCGAAAAGGTACATTTTGCTTTTCTTCATATTTTTAAATTTAGCTTATAAATACATGTTTACTCTTTGTTAATCGTTTATTAAAATTTAAATTTTGTTTCTTCTTGCGTCAACAGTTTGAGATAAAATTAGTGCCATTTACTTATTATGGCTCAATACTTTGCTTTATTGAAATGTTTCTAAATTTATTCCTAGAGGGATCTAAGAACGCTTATTTAAATCGCACCACTTCATATATCTGTTTTAACACATGATTTCATATTTGAAATTTAATATTGTTCATTATTCGTTATTAGTGTAGTAATTTTTCAGTCTGTTTATTTCACTTTTTTGAAAATAAAAAACTTTAGCATCCTAGATGTTTGCAGTTTCCTAATGGTCAGTTCCTCGTTGAGAATCAATAGGGTAAATATGATTGTAAAATATTTTCAATCCAGCAATTTTCTGATCGTTTAGGAGATGAATCTCGAATCAACAGTAGGAAAAATTAAGGCATATGTAGAGGAAGAACTAGAGAGACTGATCCAATCAAAAGGCCGCAAATTGGAAAGAACCTTTTTTGGACCCTGGTTTATGGGTCTGGTAGGTCTTCTTGGTGTCCCCTGTCCTTCAACCCTCGAATACTATCTCACTACTCCCTCCTCTCCTCCACTACATTCGCCCCCAATCATTAGAAACGATCAGCAAACTGGAAAATGCTCTCGCTCAATGACTCATGAAGAAAGAACCTCCTCAACTTTTCAAACCATTCTCAATGACTTGGAGGAATTTATGCCCAGTAAGGAATCTAATTCAGAGCTCCCTGTCAAGAAAAAAAAGGACCGAAAGAAACGGCAAATTTCCTCTATTCAAACATCCATAGGGAGGAAACGAAGTCGAGGAGAGAGGAATAAGCCTACACGAGGGGAAAGAAGACATTTGTCACTTTCATCGTCGTCAGATTCATCTATTGTGGAGGATGCGCCGGTTTATAAGAGACCGAAAAGAAGACGAAGGGGGGAAGTGATGGTATCAGAATCTCATTCATCAGCTGTAAATACTTCAAAAAAATCCTTTTCTTCTCCTGCTTCACAGGGTCTCGGAGACACGAATGGCAGTAAGTCATGTTTTTAAATTCGGACCTTTTTTGTATGCCATCTTTGTGTTGATAATTAATAATCCTAGGTAGCTGTTTTAGAGGTGTTGCCTCTTTGAGTAACAGGGTGTTAGGAAGAAGTTCTTAATCTTTTGTGTCTGTTACCCTCGTCGTCGTCGTCGAGAGTGATAGAGGGGGGGGGGGGGTTAAATAAATGAAAATTTAAAAAAATAGGGTCAATGCCACTTCATTATTACACTTAAATGGTTTATCTCTGTTAAACTCACGTCGGTATTTGCTAAGTTTATTAGTCAATCACAAACTATCAGATAAAGTATGACAAAAATGTTCTCTATTCTGCATCTTTTGTGATTTTCCACTAGATGTTCTGCTCTTGGTGCAACGTCTTGTAGGATTTTTTGACACTGCTAAGTTGGTTTATCCATCAAACGATGCCTTTTGTGAGTCAGTTGTCGTAGTTACAGCGGTCTCTTCAATTGGCAATTCTTTTTCTTTATTTTGGACTTCGAAGATCATGGTTACCCCTCTCACCCAAAGTGTACCTCTGGACTGTCTACAATTATAATAAATGGATTCCCATAAACACAACCTCTTATTTGTCCTTCAAACAGACCTCAAATCTCGCAATTTGTTCAATAGTTTTAGAAGGGTTTTGATTTTTTGCCCTTCTTACATTCTTTTGTTGCTTCTTATTCGAATACGTTTATAAGCTAAGCTCTTTAGGAGTGGATAGCTCCATGTTATTAAAGTTTAACTTGTCGCCATGCTATTCGAAATACTTCTTTCTTAGAGAATACCTTTTTCCACACTAAACTGTGGCCAATTCCTAATCGTGCTTCGCATAGAGCCTTGCTTCTAAAAGGATTATTTCACTTTTCTTTTCAGGTAAGCCATCAGTAGATCAACTGAAGACGCAAAAGCCAATATTAAGGCTATCCGGTCAGTTTTTCCATTTTGGTCTGGACGTCTTCTTGTTTTTGTACTTCATGCTCTAGGCTCTCATTCTTTGTTTCTTTTTTTTCTAGATTCAGCTACAGAGTCGGATTTTGAAGATGTTCTTCCCTCCAAGCAACAAGACAGCGTTGATTTGGACGAAGTGGAACCTTCTTTAGCTCCTACAATTGCCACATCTCCAGTTGGTATGTCTATAGGGCTTTCTCCTCGAGGGGCACTATTCGCTTAGTCTTGTTAGTTGATGTAGAAGTGAATTGTATTCAAATCTTTTTACACCTTTATCCAGGAAATCATCTTAGGTAATCACGTTCCACCATGGTGCTTTTTTGGTGACCAACTCACCATATTTAGTAGTCAGACCTAAGTAGTGCCTTTGGCCACTTCACCTACTGTGTGAAATGGGATGTTCTTCGAATTTATTACCTTGATTTTTGTAAAACATAAATTACTGGTTGCATTTCATTTAGATAATAGTTGGGGGGGGGGGGGTTCTGGTTCCAACATTGCGAGTATTGAAAGGAGCTTTGAGGCCTTAAAAGTGTGCTTTCCCATAGAGATCACCAGTAGTGATTACGTCGGTGGTGTAGTAGTCGCCTGTCGGGTGGTAGGTCTCAGGTTCGATACCCATTTTTTTGTACTTCCAGTGACATGGGTGGCCAATCGTACCGGCTAATAAGTGGCAATAAAGCAAATGACACAGTATGAGTTTCGTATGTGAGAATCTCTTCCACCATTTGTAAGGCTTCTTTTTCCCAATAGATTTTCCTCATCTTTATGACTGCAGGTCTATTTCTTGAGTTAAGACGATCTTTTTCAGTGTCAAGGTTCCAGCCTACTTCCTTATATATTATTTACTGTGTTTTTATTTTAGCTCAACGTGTCCATGGAGGCTTGCCTCCAATTGATGCGTTTTTCTCCAACTTGGATGAAGACTCTCCAGATGAAAATGAAACAGAGACGAATAAATCTCACTCCGCTGGTACATTGTGTGGTTAACTTAAATGTTCAACTTTTGAATTCGAGGCGAGGCGTTGTAACCATTATTTATTCTTGTCAATTTTTTTTAGATTCTAGAGGCTCGAAGGAAGAGCAGAGGCCTTCTTCTTCGGATTCACTTTCTGAGGTGCAAAATCCTGGAGAAAATAAATCCACTGAGGATACAATTACTTTAGGTTTGTTAGAAGCCTTTTTTTCACTGGCTTTTTTCAGTCATTAATTTGAAATAATTTGATTTAAGCAATGTTTGATTCAATTATGGGAGCCCTTTAAGTGCTCCTATTTTTTGTATTAAATTTTGCAGCATGACCTAACAAGAAGAGTCGTACCATCTGCTCTTTAGGGAGGTAGCGTGCATTTTGACTCAATAATTAATTTCACCGATTTAAACCACAAATTCGACAAATTTCAGGTATAAGGATCTATGACACGTGCTCGTCATACAGAGTAGTTCGTATCGTCCGCGTTTTACAACTCAATTTGTACTGGAGTTAGTCCAGATAAAAGTGCATTATAGTGGAGGGGGGGGGG